CTAAATCAAATCCCATATGATTATACAGTTGAAGTGACAAATACATTCAAGGGATTAGATGTGATAGACAGTGCCTAAGAACTATGGATGGAGGTTCATGAAATTGTACAGGAGGCAGTGATCAAGACCATCCCCAAGAAAAATAAATACAAAAAGGCAAAACAATTGTCAGAGGAGGCCTTACAAATAGCTGAGAAAAGAAGTGAAAGGCAAAGGAGAAAAGGAAAGATATACACATTTGAATGCAGAGTTGTAAAGAATAGCAAGGAGAGATAAGAAAGCCATCCTCAGTGATCAATGTAAAGAAATAGAGGAAAATAATAGAATAGGAAAGACTAGAGATCTCCTCAAGAAAATTAGAGATACCAAGGGAACATTTCATGCAAAGATGGGCACAATAAAAGAAACAGTATGGAACTAACAGAGGCAGAAGATATTAAGAAGAGGTAGCAAGAATACACATAAGAACTGTAAAAAAAAATGTCTCCATGACCCAGATAACCACGATGGTGTGATCACTCACCTAGAGCCAGACATCCTGGAATGTGAAGTCAAGTGGGCCTTAGGAAGCATCACTGTGAACAAAGCTAGTGGAGGTGATGGAATTCCAGCTGAGCTACTGAAAATCCTAAAAGATGATGCTGTGGAAGTGCTGCACTCAATATGCCAGCATATTTGGAAAACTCTGCAGTGGCCACAGGACTGGAAAAGGTCATTTTCATTCCAATCCCAAAGAAAGGCAATGCCAAAGAATGCTCAAACTACTGCACAATTGCATGCATCTCACACAGTAGCAAAGTAATGCTCAAAATCTCCAAGCTAGGCTTCACCAATACATGAACTGAACTTACAGATGTTGAAGCTGGATTTAGAAAAGGAATAAGAGATCAAATTGCCAAAATTCACTGGATCATAGAAACAACAAGTGAGTTCCAGAAAAATGTCTACTTCTGGTTTATTGACTACCCAAAGCCTTGACTGTGTGGATCAAAACAAACTGTCGAAAATTCTTCAAGAGATAAGAATACCAGACCACCTGACCTGCCTCCTGAGAAATCTTTATGCCAGTTAAGAAGCAACAGTTAGAACTGGACATGGAACAATGGACTGGTTCCAAACTGGGAAAGGAGTACATCAAGGCTGTATATGCAGAGCATATCATGCAAAATGCCTGGCTGAATGAAGCACAAGCTGGAATCAAGATTGCTGTGAGAAATATCTATGACCTCAGATATGCAGATGACACCATCCTTACGGCAGCAAGTGAAGAGGAACGAAAGAGCCTCCTGATGAAAGTGAAAGACGAGAGTATAAACGGTGGCTTAAAACTCAATATTCAAAAAACTAAGATCATGGCATCCAGTCCCATCACTTCATGGCAAATAGATGGGGAAACAATGGAAACAGTAACAGACTTTGTTTTCTTGGGCTCCAAAATCACTGCAGATGGCAACTGCAGCCATGAAGTTAAAAGACACTTGCTCCTTGGAAGAAAAGCTATGATCAGCTTAGACAGTATATTGAAAAGCAGAGACATTACTTTGCTGACAAAGGTCAATCTAATCCAAGCTATTGTTTTTTCCAGTAGTCATATATACATATGAGAGTTGGACCATAAAGCTGAGTGCAGAAGAATTGATGCTTTTGAACTGTGGTGTCGGAGAAGACTCTTGAGAGTCCCTTGGACTTCAAAGAGATCAAACCAGTCCAGATTTGAAGTCCAAATCTTCAAGGAGATCAGTCCTGAATATTCATTGGAAGGACTGATGTTGAAGCTGAAGCTCCAATACTTTGGCCACCTGATGGGGAGATCTGACTCATAAGAAAAGACCCTGATGCTGGGAAATTTTGAAGGCAGGAGGAGAAGGGGTTGATAGAGGATGCAATGGTAGGATGGCATCATTGAGTCAATGGACATGAGTTTGAGCAAGCTCTGGGAGTTGGTGATGGAAAAGAAAGCCTGGCATGCTGCAGTACATGGGTTCACAAAGAGTTGGACACGAGTGAGTGACTGAACTGTACTGAATTATTCCAAGTCAACTAAATCTTGGATCTTCTTCATACTGATGATGCAATAATAAAAAACTCATTTATACTTCCTATTTAATTTTTTTATTATCCCATGAAATAGGCATCATTATACCAATTACTACCAATGCCTGGCACAAAATCATCACTCTACAAGTACTTATACAAAAGTTTCATCTGAATTTCATCCACTCATATAGTTAGCACACCAGTAGGAAAATCCAAAAATAGAAGGGGAAAAGGAGAAGCTTTGAAGCTATTGAAGCTATGAGTGAAGAGAAATCATGAGGAAGAGATGGAAGAAAAGAGTTCTCCAGTTTTAGACCAAAGAGAAGCTGAGTACAGGTCACTATGATAGAGAATTTACAAATAGAGAGTGATGGATTCTGCAAGATTTAGAGTCCTGTCCTCTCTCCCCCACACACACACCATAAGGTTAGGGCTACAAGGACAAGAATCCTGATCAAGGTATAATGCTCCATGATATCTGACTCCACGCACTAGAACCGTTTCCTTCGCCTTCCTGTGAACTCTTAAGTTAGACTCTCATGAACCGAGGTAATCTATGTCCCTCATGGTATGAAAAGCCCTAAAAGTATATTGTTCAGTAAAATGTTTCCAAACATCTCCTTTGGGACAAAAGGTTGTATCTCTTTACACTTTTCGTTGGAGTTCCTGAATATCAATCCAGATTGTCCTTGACATTTAACACTAAGACTTTATAACCTTAAACTAGCATTTATTAGTCAATAGAAATAAATATTTCTTTATATTTATTTGAAATATATTGACAGGGTGCCTATACCCACTTACCTTTCTATATGTATAAATTTGTCAATAATCCTTTTGAATTACCTGAAATTAAATGTAATATGCCTGATGGCAAGTTTGCGTTCTGGACTTAAAACTGAAGATTCAAATGCAGCTCTATCATCTACTAGCAGTACAACTTTGGCAAGCTCTTTGGCTTGTCTCTGCCTCTATTTCCTCATCTGTAACAGGTTGCTTTTAACTTGAATTTTTAATTTAAAGAGTTGTTATAAGGATTAAATGACTTAGCACAGTGTCTGGCATGTTAACTGTTCCTTTCATTCCATCAAGAACATTTGAAAAGCCAGGCAAATTCACTGGCATTTATTAAATGTTGTAAGTCCTGGAGGTATATGATACAGAAACATCTGTATGTTCTGTGGAGACTGAATTTTCACAATCAGAGTCAGGGCAGCAAACCCAAATCACTACTCTGGAGCTCTGGGATCCCTCCCTACCTCTCTCCCCTCCTTCTTTTTATTGAATGTCTATTGTTAAGCATTTACTGGCATAAGAATAAAGAGATGGGAGATATTGTTGTAGAAGCTCCCAGAGTGGTGTTAGGGACACAGAAACACACAAACATTACGACTATGGGAAAAGCCATGATGGAAGTGGTGGGCAGCTTCTGTGAGAGCCCAGAGGAGACACCTCTCAGCTGCTGTGGGGTGGAGGCCAGTGAGAAGGGCAGAGCCAAGGAGGGCTTCCCATTGAGAAGCTTTGCAATTCAAGTACTAAGGGAAATCAGGTGAAAAGGGGAGTAAAATGTTCCAAACGGCAAGAGCAGCACCTGCAGAGGTCAAAGCTGAGAGCGCAAATGGCTTATTCAAGGAACCGTAAGTGGTTCAGTAAGCCTGGAAAACAGAACTTATATAAGTGAGCTTAAGAGTTCAGAGGAGGAGAGGAGCAAAGGGCCTTACATACTGTGCCAAGGGAGCTGAATTTGTCTTGATCAGACCTGCACACTGGAAAAATCACTGATGGAGTGACTAGAGTCAGAATAGATGTCTGATGGAACCACGCAAAACTAGAAGCAGGGACACGATCTGGGGAGCTCTGCACAAAGGGATGGGAAGTGAAGTCTAAGTGGAAATAGACCTGGAGCTGGGCAGTAGGCTTTCAAAGATGCCAAAGAAAATCACATGTATTAACCGGTTGGATGGTGACAGGGAGGTGATTAAGAGGACACTCAATTTTCTGGTTTGATCAAGTGGGTGCATCCTGATGCCATTAACTGAGACGGTGAATCAGAAGGAGGATGTGGCTTGGGAGGGTGTGTGTGTGGTATAAGGTGGAGGAGGGTAGGGGTGAAGAGTTCAGTTTCAGATGGGTTGAGTCAAAGGGTCAATGATCAAAAGGTGAGGAAGTGAAGAACAGGCAAGTAGACTGCTTGTTCCAAAAATGTACCTGTGGAGGGAAGGGCTTGTGCAGTTGTATACATGTTTCTGAAGGTTTAGTTCAGGTCAGTCGCTCAGTTGTGCCCAACTCTTTGCGACCCCGCGGACTGCAGCACACCAGGCCTCCCTGTCCATCACCAACTCCCGGAGCTTACTCAAATTCATGTCCATCAAGTCAGTGATGCCATCCAACCATCTCATCCTCTGTCATCCCCTTCTCCTGCCTTCAGCATCTTCACCAGCATCAGGGCCTTTTCCTATGAGTCAGTTTTTTGCATCAACTGGCCAAAGAATTGGAGTGTCAGCTTCAGCATCAGACCTTCCAATGAATATTCAGGACAGATTTCCTTTAGGATGGACTGGTTGGATCGTCTTGCAGTCCAAGGGACTCTCAAGAGTCTTCTCCACAGTTGAAAAGCATCAATTCTTTGGCACTCAGCTTTCTTTATGGCCCAACTTTCACATGCATACATGACTACTGGAAAAACCACAGCTTAGACTAGATGGACTTTGTTGGCAAACTAGTGTCTCTGTTTTTTAATATGCTATCTAGGTTGGTCATAGCTTTTCTTCCAAGGAGCAAGTGTCTTTTAATTTCATGGCTGCAGTCACCATCTGTGGTGATTTTGGAGCCCCTGAAAATGAAGTCTCTCACTGTTTCCATTGTTTCCCCATCTATTTGTCATGAAGTGACGGAACCAGACGCCATGATCTTAGTTTTCTGAATGTTGAGTTGTAAGCCAGCTTTTTCATTCCCCTCTTTCACTTTCATCATGAGGCTCTTCAGTTCCTCTTTGCTTTCTGCCATAATGGTGGTGTTACCTGCATATCTGAGGTTCAGGGGAAGACTTCTAGGTCTTTTGTGCATGGTGGCCTCCATTCCCTGAGCAGCTGGAGGTGATGTGATTTTCTGAAAGGCAGGCGGAGGGGAGATGATGAGTAAACATGAAGAGGAGAGTGGCAAAGCTTAGAATATCACATGAGTGAGAAGCTGACTGTGGACATAAGGAAACATGGTTAGGGTCTATGAATGTGGAGGGGAACCAATCTACTAGCCTGTGAGATTACCTCCAGCTGTTCCCAGGAACCAGAGTGTCAGCAGGCTTTCTGGAGGCTGAGCGGAAGAGGGCTGGACACTTCCTCTTTTCAAGCCCCCCTGTATATCTGAGCATGCTGAAATGCCAAGAGAGGGTTACGAAATCAGAGTATGTTTCAAATCCTTACACGTCGCAAATTAATAACTGACACACAATCATTACTACACAATAAATTGTGCTGTTCATCCTGTAATTACAGAATTTACTTAAAATATTAATTCATAATGCACTACAGATGGTATCATTTAGTAAAAGCACAAAGTTTAAGTTTTCTAGTGAATGCTTTCTTGTAATTGCATAGGTATATCTGTGGGATGACAGGATAACTTCATTTGGAGAAACTGTCACACGTTTTGGTTTCCTCAGGGTATATGCCTAGTAGTGGGATTGCTGGGTCATATGGTGGTTTTATTCCTAGTTTTTTTTTTTTTTTTTTAAGGAATCTCCATACCGTCTTCCATAGTGGCTGTATCAATTTACATCCCACCAAACAGTGCAGGAGAGTTCCCTTTTCTCCACACCCTCTCCAGCATTTACGGTTTGTAGAATGTTTGATGATGGCCATTCTGACTGCTGTGACTGTCACAAGTTTCATTTGAGGATTTTAATGAATATGGAGCCCAGGACCTCTATCAGCCTCAGGTATTAGAATGGAAAAGACAGATGACCGGATTAATCCAGTTTAATAGGTCCAGCTTACTGAAATACAATAAACTTGAGGACACAGATGATTATAGAGGCTGAAGAAATGAGTTACAATTTCTAAACTGAATTGGGAAACAAGTGAAAACAGGAGTGATAGGTTGGTAGAAAAGACAGAGGTTAATAGTAAATGAGGTATGAATAATTAAGGGAATAGTATAATACAGTTTGATCACACAATCAGAGTATTTCTGGATGATGGTGGGGTGTGGACATAGATGCAGATAGCTAGAGTGAAGTGGAGAAGACGGTCACTTGTAGCTGGGAGGGCAAGCGCTGAAAGACTAGTCTTCTCAGAGAGTGATCTACACAGGTGTGGAAAATGATCCGGGATACCGTGGGTCTGTGTGTGAAGAAGGCAACTCCCTGTCTCAAAGAGCCTTGGGTTAATTATCGCTCTAAAAGTGGAGCTGCAGAGGAACAGAGGGGACGAAGGGTTGAATTCAGGTTATCTTTATCCCTTGCTGACCTGTGACTGAAATTTATAATGAGGAATACTGAATTACAAAATCTTGATGTTACAGAGGTGCTTACAGAACATAACATCACTCCAGACAGCCTTTAAATCCACTTATCAAAGTAATTTTGTTCTCAATTGAACAGCAGGTGAAACAATACTGAACAAAGCAACCTTGGCTGTACCCTAAGCCCTTTAATTATAGTGTTCATAGTAATAAATACTCTAGTGAAGGGACAACTTGCATTACAATCCCAGGTTTTCAACCACTTTGGTTCTTAAAAAGTTTTTTTTAGTTGAAAAACTTAATGCATAGTTTGTGTGCAAAGGCTTTGTGTGTGTGGATTGATTATCAGATGTGAGAGGAAGGGGCTGCCGGCAGTGTCCCAAGGAGCGCTGTGGCAAAGGAGAGGCCGTGAGTAGTCTGTGAACACAGGGTGATGAGAGCTGATGTTTATGCAGATCTCACCACATGCCAAAAGCTGGGCTAAGTATTAATACTTATTTATGTCCACTGACTCATTTGTCTCAACGTATGCAGTAGGTGTCATTACCTGACCCCAACATTAAAGAAATTAAAGAATAGGAAATAAGTCACTTGTCCAATGTCACAGAGATAGTAAATGGTGGATCTGGGATCTGAATTCAAATATCTGTAACTCCAGAACTTATAAATTTGTGGTTAAATGCACTTGACATTTGGGGATGTGCATGACAAGTCACTGTTGTGTCTCTTTTCAACCCCGTGGATTGTAACCTCCAGGCTCCTCTGCCCATGGGGATTCTCCAAGCAAGAATACTGGAGTGGGTTGCCATGTCTTCCTCCAGATCTTCCCGACTCAGAAATTGAACCCATGTCTGTTATGCCTCCTGCATTCCAGGTGGGTTCTTTACTATTAACATCACCTGGAAGGCTTCATTTGAGGATGGAGTGGGGATAAATATAAAAGCAGTCATGGGCATCATGGAGGCAGATCCCTTTCTTCACATGAAAGTGGAATCCAGAGCAGTTGATTAGAAACTTGCCTTAAAATCTTGGAGGGCCTGAGGCCTCTTTCCCTGGCCCACCCCACCACACCACGTAATACAGCTTCCTCTGAACTGTGGTGTTGGAAAAGACTCTTGAGAGTCCCTTGGACAGCAAGGAGATCCAACCAGTCCATCCTAAAGGAAATCTGTCCTGAATATTCATTGGAAGGACTGATGCTGCAGCTGAAACTCCAATACTTTGGCCACCTGATGTGAAGAACTGACTCACTGGAAAAGACCCTGATGACCCTGATGCTGGGAAAGATTGAAGGTGGGAGGAGAAGGGAAGGACAGAGGATGAGGTGGTTGGATGGCATCACTGACTCAATGGACATGTGTTTGAGTAAACTCCGGGAGTTGGCGAAGGACAGGGAAGCCTGGCGTGCTGCAGTCCATGGGGTCTAAAAGAGTTGGACACGACTGAGCAACTGAACTGAACTGACTGGTCTGGCTGGAGGAAAAGGTGTTTTTCTTTTTTTTCTCATGGGACCTTTTCTTGTTTAATCCTATTTACACATCTGTTTCACTAGCATTGCAGACACAATCTTTAAAACAAGAAGCTAGTTTTTCTATATAATGAACTAGTGGATTTAAAATCAGAGTGATGTTGCATAGCCCTGTGAATATACGAAACATACTGGATTGCTTGAATGGACACATTTTATGGAATGGGATATCTCAGTAAAGCAGCTTTTAAAATCAGACTGTATGAAACAAGAAACAAATTTTTGGAAAATTCCCTGGCACTCCAGTGAACTCCCTGGTTCCACTGCTGGAGGCACAAGTTCGCAAGCAGCGCGGTCAAACAAACCAAAAACCCCAACACATTTTCGTGGCTTTTGAGTGATTTCAAGTGGACTCCTTGCATGCAAGACACCGCCACAAAGAGAACCCGGTGCATGGCGTGAGCTCCTCACCCATTTACTTCTTGTTCGGTCAGCTTTCCCAAAGTGAAAGTTAAGGTGCCAGGCACGGGGTAACAAAGAAAGGTAGGCTCCCATCCCGTCGAGGATAAGACAGGTACACAGAGTTAACTTGCAGTTAAGCGTGGACTTTCTTCGCCGTTGAAGTTTTCACGACTATGTTGCAAATCTGAGTACTAAAAAAAAGTTTTCACTTTAAACAAAGGCAATTTTTTGGTTATTTAGTAAATTAGACCGAGTCACAGATTTAGTCTTTAAGCTTCAAATCACAAAACTGGTTTCAAGCGGGTTTTGCATGTTTAAGAAGTATCAAGTTCATGTTTTTACCAAAAAAATGGATCCTTATTAAGTCAATGTGTGTTACGGGTACCATTTTAGGTCCACCCTCGCCGTGAGCCCACATGGGCACTCCGGTCGGTCAGGTCGGGCTGACGCGGGGCGGGCGTCCGTGGACTCCGCCGTCCCCGCCCGCCTCCTTTCTGCCTTAGCTGTCCGGCATCGAGGGGCGAGGGGCGGCCTCGCAGCCGCTCCCGAGGGCGGGCGGGAGGCGGCCGGACCCCCTGAGCCCAGGGCGCCCGCGCTCCCAGCGGAGCCGGGGCTCCGACCTGGACCGGCTCCGCGCGCGTCGTCGAGCCGGCACTCCCCGGGCGCGGGGGGCCAGGCACGCTCCCGGCCGCGGCCGCGGCTCCGCGAGGCCCCGCGG